CGACCACTTCTCTGACAGGAAGGTGGGCTGTGATTCCCAGCCTCTCTTCTGGGGAACATTTCTTCTGTGGGGGGACTGGTCGCAGTGCGCAGCTCTGGCCTCTCTTTGTAAGGAGGCATCTCCTGGGTGTGGAACGGCTTTGCTGCCAGGCCCTAGGACGTCCCCAGAGGTGGGCTGCAATGGTGGGGCTCATGGACAGGGGGCTCCGTCTCCTGTCCAGCACTGTTTGGGGTGAGAGGCACTTACCTGTTCCGGACGCCAACAATGTGGGCAGCTCTGTCACCATCTGTCACCTGCTGGTGGGGCTGCCCCCAGTGGTCACTCTGCAGTATAGCTGTCCCTCTGATCAGCCCCCTCCCTTTCCATGTTATGGAAAACAATACCAATTTTTCTGGCACAACCAAACTTTGACTTTGCTTTAAGTTAAGGTAAGAGGAAGCTTCATAGCAAATTTGGTGGCCCTAGCTCTTACTGTTTAGGAGTAGTTCTTGAACAAACAGACTCACAGATGGACAGACAAACTCACAGACAGATGCACAAACTCTCTAAAATATTTATTTAGAAGACATCAGTCAGTTGGTGTACACTGAACTGGGCAGGCCAGCTGCAACTCATCACATGATACAAGTGATCCCTTTGCCTCTTGAAAAAAACTTCTAAGAATCTTGGACAGAGAAGTGACAGGATTTATGACTTATTACAACAATCTATAACCCACCCACCCCAGCTTTCTCCCCTTTCCACTCCCGGATGACTAAAAATGTATTAATGGGCCTGTCAGGGCTGTTTCCCCACTCTGGCACTTTGAGTGCAGAAAGTGGGGGCCCACAAAAAACTTTAAAATATCTTTCCACTAAAAACTTGTGTAACCCTTCTGCCAGGCAGCTCCGGCAGCAGTCAGGGCCGGGTTAAATATCTAGGGGTTCCTCTCCATCCATCTAGCACAGAACTGGCTCAAGCCCCCACCCAGTAACCTGAGAAATTCATACAACCCCATGGCACTTCTCAGAGGCAATGCTTCCCCACTCACAAGCACAGATTCTGAGTGTAGAAAAGAAACTTTTAATAAAAAGGGAGAGAAGTCACATGGCATTAATTTGGGAAAACTCCACAAGCAAAGTTCATAACCAAAGCCACTAGTATATGTCCCAGCTCAAGTAGTTTGTGCAGCGTCCTTTTTCTCTCAGGCTCTCAAGTCCAGCAGTGTAAATGTCCCCTTCACATTAGGGATGTTAAATATTGAGTAACTGACTAATTGAATAGTCGATGCATTTTGCTGTTGCTACACTTCAAAGGAGTCCCCAACTGATCTCAGGCTCCATGCAGTGCTGTCGCTTTGAAACGCCGTGTGCAGCCTGGGGACGCCCCAGTTGGCCCAGGGCTGTATATGGCGTTTCCGGGTAGCAGAGCTGCATGGAACCCGGGGTCTGGCCCCAGACTCCATGTGGCACTGCCACTTTGAAGTATCCCCTTCATCCTTCCCTCCCCCTTTGCTGCCTCTCTCTCATAGAGGCAGCAAAGGGGGGAAGGAAATCGATTAGTCGACTACTCAAAATTTGCTTATCGGATAATCAAATAGTCGACTAGTCTTTTACATCCTTAGTTTATACACAACGCTATCGAACAGCATCATTTGTTCCTTTTTTGTATTCTCCTTTTATAAGAACAGGGAAGTGTGTAGGGGGGTAGAAACTGCCCCTTCCCTTTTCTAGCCTCTTCTAGCCTCTTTTTTAAATAACCACCAAAGCTCTCATCCTGCAGCCACACAGAAGGACCTCTGTACCTGCACAGAGCTGTCCTGAAGTGAGTAGTGTCCCATACACGATCTTTGCCTACTGTGATGGGCATTCTCGGGGTGCAACCTGCGACACAGGGGGTACTGCTGAGCCCTGTGTCTCACCAGCCTGGGCTCCTTCTCTCACTGTGATACTCTAACAAGAGGCAGTCCTCTTTAGGTCCTGAATTCACGATTCACAGGCAGGGACACCCCCAGCTGAGTTACAGGAATGTACTTGCCAGCCATTTCAGCTCTTAGCCCAGAGCACAGACCAGCCACAAGAGATTTCAGCAACCACTGGAGTAAATTTACATACAGAAGAGACTCCTTATGAAGCCTTTCTTTAACTCTATAATTGAAGCAGTGGGGAGAAGCGGGTTGAACCAGTCTGACAACTGAGGCCTGAAGAGGATGCAGCCTGCTGACTCACCTCCTCCCCAGCTTAATCTATAACCATCGAGCCTCTGTCCATCCAAGATTCTTTACACTGACAGTTTCTCTCCTTTGAATGGAGTTAAACACAGTCTGACTTCTGTGTGCCCAATAACTGCAAGCATTGGTGGTCATATCTTCCAATTCCTGCATTTAGGGTTAACACAGTTTGTGATCCCACAACAGTCAAATTGGTTACAATGGGCAAAACACCATTCTAACAATTGACTTGACTATCTAGCAGGCCAAAGCAAACTGAGTGAACTGTGTTTACATAACCACACTTCTTTCTTTCCCATTCCAGCTGGCTGTCATGTCAACATTGATTCAGACCCTGCCTATATCTATGTTAAAACGCCCCAACATTACAGATTGCCACACCTTGGATTAATATCACCACCATCAGCCCAAATGCCATTGAAACCCCATTGAAAACTCAGTAAGGTGCAGTTGGGAATTCCTTCCTGTGAGGGACCCTCAATACTCTTCCTTCTGGAGAGAGCTTGAAATGCAGCTGCTCAGATCATGTAAAAATAGAACTTTAATTTCTCATTGTATGTTGGCTGTGCAGAACCTCCTATCTTCTAGGACATAGGAATCAGATCACTTTCTTAAATGTGGGTTTTTTTCTAATAAAAATCCCTTCTGGTAAAACACTGCTTTTTTGCTAGATGTTACAGAGCAGTTGAAAAAGGGATTAAAACTACAGAGAATTGCTTCCCTGGGATTCAGTTAGGGAAGTTACAGTTTAATGGGGAAGTCAGATGTACTCTGGGCAGAAAAGTCCAACAATGCCAGAAATAAAGAATAAACCTGATGGTGTCTGACAAAAACAGCCCCTGTTCTACTCACATATCTGTAGTTTGAAGACTTAGTCCTTCCCTAGGCATGGATGTCTCTGGATACTCTGTGCCTTGCTCCCTGTCTCCTTACATGTGCTTACAGAAGCTCTTCCTCAGCTAACTGGAAGCAGGAGGAGCAGCTACTTCCAATTCAGAAGCCCATAATCTGTTTTCATTAGCTCTCCTGTCATCTTGCCAATGCACTTCTTGCTTCCCTAAGCATTCTGTGATAGCTTCCATCTCTTCCTGGGATTTCTCTAGGACTCTTGACCTACAATTTTAAAACCTTGCAGGCCAGGCAACTCGAGTTAGGTCTAAAGAGTTAACAACTACTGAGAGAAGATTTTAGCTAACTGAATTAGGAATGTGAAAGTGTAAATGTGTACACAGCTAACTGATAAGCCTGGGCTCATTGGTTAGCCATCAGGGTTACATGCAGCCCCTCTGCCTCCCCTGCTGCTGTCTCTGTAACTGATACAGAGGCAGTAGCACTGAGGGGGAGGAGCAGGTGAGAGCCAGTGCTCCGGGGAGGTGGCTTTTCTCTATTAGTGGCAGCCACATGGGTGGGAGCAGGCAGCTCCCTGTGAGCTGGCTTAAGAGCTGGTTTCCTGTGAGCACGGGGTCCCACCTGCCCTCCCCCTGCTGCCTCTGATACACAGGCAGCAGCGCTGCGGTGAGGGCAGGCGACTCCGCAGGAGGTAGTACACGTGAGGAGCTAGCCTAAAAGCCAGCTCCTTGTGCATACCAGCTCCCACTTGCCCTCCCCCGCCCACACTGCTGCCTCTATATCTGAGACAGCGGGGGCGGGAGGCATGTATAAATGTGTAACAGCTGAAAATTTCAATAGTTACACATTTACCTAAATAGACACATTTTAACATCTCCAAACTGAATGATTGGAATGTGCAGAAAATGATGTTATCTGCTTATTTCACCACAGGGCCACTTTACCTTCACATACGTGTTAATTATTTATGCGTCCTTTGAAATATATGTTAACTCCTTGTGCTGAATAATCTGTTTCATCTTGTATTTAACTCTGACAATCTTGAGTAAGTTTTCCCAGACCTGAGGAAGAACGCTGTAAACTCAAGAGCTTGTTATTCTCACCAACAGGAGTTGTTCCAATAAAATATATGACCTCACCTACCTTCTCTCTCTAATAAATTTTTTGTGTTGAACACCCCAGGGATAAGTGAAATGCTTCATAGGGTATGTAGATGATTAAATACTACGACAAGGTGTTGAATCTAAAAACTTATTCAAAGGCACAAAGAGTTAAATACATAAAAAGCGGGGTATGTGATGTTAAGTAGTGTAGTTAAATACACAAGTCAGGAAATGGAAAACGTTGAGATAAAACTGTCAGTTTTTAAATTAAGGAAGTCCTATGGGAGCCAGACTACATGACGCTTGTGATCCCTTCTAACCCTCTGATTTTATGCATGCTGTATTTTCTCTTTATGCTTTGATGGTTAAATAGTAGAAGATGCAAACAGCAATATTTTTACTTAAAATATATTTTTCCATTCTAAAGGGCCAGGAGGCTCTTAAATTTGCAGTCTAGTTATCTGGTAGATTTGGAAGCTTCTTGAGGCATTTTTGTAGTAAAACATTTTTGTGGATGAATTTGCTCAATCAATATGACATGGAATTGTTGCCAGGCAAAGGCATTGTATATTCTGCCCTCTATTTCCATATTGCAAGTAAAAATGCTGAAAAATATAAATTCTGTTCCCAGGTTCCTTGATCTTACCCTCTGATTGCAGTGCAATATAGGTACCTCACTAAGCATATTACATAATTTCCCTGATTGTTCCTTTAAAACTTTGAAGTGTTCTTGCTAAAAAATAGGAGGCACTCTATGCAGTCTTCATTTGAAAACTGTTTTCTGAAAATTGACAGATAAATGCGTACTATTTTACTAATTTGGGTCCCCTTATTTACAGGTGCAAGGAGAAAAAATATGATTATAATAACCTGCCAAAAACTTCGGTTGTAATAGCTTTTTATAATGAGGCTTGGTCAACACTTCTGCGAACAGTTCATAGTGTTCTTGAGACATCCCCAGATATTCTGCTGGAAGAAGTTATCCTTGTGGATGATTATAGTGACAAAGGTAGGTATTTTATTGCATAAATAACTATATTCTTGTCAGACAGACAAGGTGGGTGAGGTGAAAGTCTGCAGGAGTAGAAAGTGTACTCCTATGGTGTTGGCTCATTAATGTTTTGTAATTATTATATCCAGCCAGACTATAACTTTAAATTACTTTTTATTTACCGGGCTGGTAGAAATGTCAGATTCAATGTCTTGTTCAGCAAGTTGAGAGGAGGAACAGTCATATAGGTATAGCGCTAACTTGAGACTTCAGAGATCTAGATTCAATTCCCTGATACACTGTAGGCTTCCTAGATGGCCATGGGCAAGTCCTTTTAATTCCCCACATGTATTGTATCTCATTAAAATGTTGTGAGTAGAAAGACATTGAATAGTGTGAGGCACTCACATGCTACAATAGTGGGGGCCCATATAAGATAGACAGCAGCTAGAAAGATATGTTGTAAAAGTAATTGGTGTAGTTTTGTTTACCACTCATCATCTGATATAATTATATTATAGCTATTTACAAATATTGTTATATCAATAAATATTGTTATATCCCTATTGGCCTGGGATCTCTCTCTCTTTTTTTTTTTATAACTACTGACATGTATATAATGCATGTTTACAGTTCTTTCATTCTAAAGTATCACATGGAATCTATGTGGAAGACTTAGACCTGTTTTTCATATCCATGTGGAATAGTTTATTAAAAGTAAGGGTTATATTTGTAGCATACAAGGAAGAAAGCTGGTGGCTGTATTGCTGTCCAAAGGTCACGTGAATGGGGAAGTATGGAAAATTCTAAAAAAACTATCAAGAACTTTCTGGTACTAACATAACTTGTATGAAATTCTTACTTTTTTCTTGTTTAAATTTCTACTTGATTTCCCTGCACTATTAATTACTATGGCCTACAGTGAAGGATTGTAAAACGGAGGTAATATTTTATCCAGAAATTAGTAATAAATTTAAGCCATTGGTGCTTTCAGGATCTTCAAAGTTCTGCTCCTTTTATGCCACATCTTATTTCTGAATATTTTTCAATTATACTAGTTCACCCAGATTCAGAAGTGTTACTCAGTTTTTTTAAATTGTGATATACTTGATAAAAAGATATCTATTACAGTCTGTGTATCTTAAAGCATCTGTCATGAATAGGAGCTGCTAAGGAGAGTCTGACTTACCTGGAAAGTGAGGAAAAGGTTAAGCAACTCTTGAGATACACCTGAGGGAGGGGGCTTCCGGCATTCAGCCAATGAAAAATAAATAGGAATTTCAAACTGAGAGAGGGTTTCTTTTTTCTTCACTGTTCCTTTGTTTTGAGATCAGAACAGTTTTTCCCCAGGTAGCCTCTCCTAGGAATGGATTCCTGAAACTGTGTAAGTAGGAAAAAGTTTAGATAGTCCATCAAGTTTTATTGTTTTCCTTGTGTGAGGGTTTGGAAATCATGTCTGAGCAGGTTAATTGTTTTTCTTATTTGTAACTAAGGATTACCACCCAGGGAATTCCCCTGAGTCTATTTCATTCTATGGCTTTTAACACCCAGTCATTTACTATACTTGCAGTAGTCTTGATTTGATAATAAAAGTGTTTTCTTTTTGTTCTAATTAACCAGTATTGGTTGATTTTTTTGGGGGGTGTCCTTAAATCAGTGTGCCTAAATTACCCAGGAGAGGCAGAGCCCAATTGTTCTCTGTGGATTCCCTCTGTTTGTTTTCCCAACTCCAAGCAAAATGGAGCTTGGGGCAGGGGAGAGAGTTTTGCCTCAGGGAGGGGGGGTTCAAGTGACCTCTTGCCTGGAAAAGGGCTTATTTTATATTTTTTATTTACACTTGTTGGTGGCAGCAAACTGATCGTTGTTCTTTTGGGTCTCAGGGAAACTGAAACTGGACGTTTGTCTCTGGGAGTTAGAGACAGGTTCTTCCAGAGTTTATTCTGCTAGCCAGAATATCTACACTTGAAGTGCCAGGTTGGGGAATTGAGCCGTGACAGCATCTTTTAAGAAACTTCTTAAAATGTCTATATTTTGAAATACATATTTTATGTTTCAATGCTAGGGATGTAAGAGCTTGTTGCTTTCCCCCTCCTTGCTGCCTATCAGAGTGGGGGAGCAGGAGCCGGTGCTAGGGGGAGCCAGCTCTTAATACATTTAAAAGACAGAGCCGCAATCTGGGGTTCGCTCCCGGGGCTGGAAGCTAACTCCACTGCAACTCCCCTGCTTATTGACTAATCGAATAGTTGATGGAAATTCCAATGACTAGTCGATTGGTTGATTAAACTAAATTTAACATCACTATTCAACACATGAAGTATAGTGAGCTATTGTCCACAACCTATATTAAACACACCACCCCGTCCTAGCTGCCAAACCTGGCTGAACTCCTTGCTCCCGCTCCCTTTCTGATCCAGCAACATCTGTGGTCCTTCCAGGCCACAGATGTTGCTGGATTAGAAAGTCCCCATCTGTAACAATGAAGATATTCACATAAAGAAACTTGTATAAAGCCTCCACATCATTAATTAAAGACTGTAAAAAAATCTGATTTTCAATTTAAAAAAGTGGTTTTATATAAAATCTATTTTCAAGTAGAAAGCATGATTTTTGTCCACCCTAGTTTTACAGTGCCTATTCCCATGCCCTATCCAGGTATAGGCGACATCCAGCTAGCAGCCAGATTGCACAGTACTGTTATTTTTTACCAGTTTATTACAACAGTGCTTTAAATACTGTTTTTATAACCTACTCTGTGCAATAATTTTGCAGTGATCTGTTCAACTTCTTTGTAACAGAACATTTAAAGAAACCCTTGGAAAGTTATGTGGCTGGTTTACGCAAGGTACGTCTTATTCGTGCAAATAAAAGAGAAGGTCTGGTTCGAGCTCGGCTGCTGGGAGCTTCCCTGGCGAAAGGAGATGTTTTGACATTTCTTGATTGCCACTGTGAGTGCCATGAAGGATGGCTTGAACCACTATTGGAAAGGTAAAGTTATACCAAGTGTTTGGTTTTTATTATTATAAACTTGAGAAAAAAGGGTCTTAGTTTTCAAACACTGTCTTTTCCATGTATGTATGGAATAAAAAAGCTGGGTTGAGGCACTATGCAGAAAATTCTGAAAGGGGAAGAATTAAGGTTGTGTATATGCAGACTATCATTTGAATCCTGTATATACTCTGGGATATTTTGATTTACAATTGCCATTTAACACACATGCCACCTCCATCACAAAATAATGCAGAATCCAAGTCTTCATTTAACAGAACAAACCATGGCGCACTCCATATACATTGCATTAAAACATTTGTAATACTGTTGTAGCTGCACACATGTACTGCATATCTAAATACATGTGTATATTTTTCAGAGTTTGAATAGAGCCATAGATGTTCACACGGCAGAGTTTAGCTTCCCTCAGGCTAAATGCCATACTTTTTTCTTCTTTCTGCTGCTCAAAGCCACATCTTGACCCATTCTGATGACAGAGCTACACTTGCAAATATTTACAGTGCTTACAACAGACTTTATGAAGATTGTATTGCAGATAGGAGACTAAACTCGGTCCTTTCCAAAGGACATAATCCACACCATTTGAAATCAATAGAGATTCCCATTGGCTATAGTGAACTTTGAAGAAGGGGCCTAAAAGAACAATTTTGCAAAAAACGTAAGTGAGATTTCCAAAACTGCCCTGTCCTAAGGGGCTTAAGAGCATGCATCGTATTGACTTTCGGTGGAAACATACTCCTAAATTCCTTAGACATGTTTGACAGCTTCCCCCAAAGTAAATGATTTTTTAAAATTGGCCTGTTATACTTGTCTGATTTGTTTCCCCTAAAGTTCACTTCTGGGATAGGACCATGTATGGTAAATTCAAGACATATTAGATTAGTTGTACCAGATGACATGGAAAAAACAGCAGTGACAGGTAATTAAAAGAATCAAGATTTTAACATCAAGCAATTGAAGAAACAACCTTACATATGAAGAGGCAATCTATGAGTAGTTTAAGTAAGCCAGAAGAGGGCAGTCTTAGAAAGAACTTTGGATGAAAAGTCTAATTTTCTTGACTGAAAATGTACTGAATCTATGTCCATATAACTATAAAAAAATCAGCCTTATTTGGTGCTGTCGGAATCTAGATTCCTTCTGTTGAAGATGAAACATAATCTACCTGTTTTTTACTTGTATACTGAGTAAGCTTTGAGTGATTTGGTTCAGTTTTCATTTATAGAAAAAGTAGATTTGCGTGTGTGTGTTGCTTATCTGCTTTCTTATGTAATTACACCTGTGTCGCAGTTAGTTACTTTTTTATTTTTATATACCCCAGAACATTTCTGTGATTGGATGCAAAAATGTTTGTTTCTTTGAGTTGTGTGGATCCCGCCATACGTGAACATGCACCCCATCGTGTACCTGAGAACAGAGCTGTTGTGAATAGAGTGTCCCTCAGAGCAGTACTTCCTGTGCTTCCTCATACTCCCATGTGAGCACATAAAAGGCTGAGCTGCTTCATCCCTGCTTTTGTTCTGCCTGCTAGTTCTTAGCTCAGGCTTAACTTCAAAACCTTCTAAAGTTTTTGGAGCCCTTTCCGATATATTGCATTGGACCAACCTGAACGGGTGCAACACATCAGGACTGAAGGCTATTATTCAGACTCTACCAACCATCTACCTCCCGGGCTCCTTAACATGGCTGACTCAAAACCTGCAGGCTTTAAACCCCATTCATCTAGCAATGGATCAATTCCTCTGAAGGATGGGTACAGTAGGTGTCTCTTTTGCCTGGGGTAGAATTGCACATTCCAGGCATAAGCTTGGTATGCTTCTGCTAGACTGTGTAAGTGATGAAATGCAAGGGTTAATCACCATCTACTGGAACAGTCCATGAAGGTCTCCTTAGACCCTGATAAAAAGAGCTCTGGAATCCTACTAGTGGATGAGCCAGCCTGATGCAGCATCACACTGAGCAAACAGGGGGCACCTAAGCTTGGCATGGAGAAGATGGTGCTGAGCAAAGATCCAGCCCCAACTTCAGTCTGGGCCCTGAAGCAGGCATCAGCAAGTCAGGCACTGAGAGGGCCACTCCAAATATGGAGGCAGAACCTCAAGAAGGAGTCCGATGAGGACAAACACTGCTAAGCCTGTGGAGAAGAGTCCACCAAACCATGCACGATGTCAAGGCCTGAGGAAAAGCAGCAACCTACAAGTCAGCAGCTCTTTCAGTTACCAGTACCAGGTCCAATGATGCACCCCTCCCCATTGACCTTGGCCTGAGGAAATGGGACATATCAAAAAAACAAAGTAATTCATCACCGAGAATAAAAATCTGGTGTAATGGTCAGTCTCTCTCACTGAATGTCAAGGCACTCTCCACCAGGGCACTGGGAGAGTCATCACCCTCCTTCAGGAGTGTGCCAGCAAGGACAACGTTAGACTTAATGGGATCCAGGGGAGAAATTAAGGAGTGGGCTCCCTCCTTGCCTCCCTTACCTGCTCACACATAGGATTTCTGCAATGTTTCTGAAGCTGAATCCTGAGCTTCACTGCATGGGGCCTCCTATGATTTAGGGTAGGGATATAAAATCCAATTTAATTAGTTAATCAGTTATATGTTAAGTTTAACTGATTAAACAGAGGTAGGTGGAGGAGCCTTTGCAGCTGGGATGGAGTGGCCCTCCACCATGGGCAGGGGCCACTCCTGTCCAGCTGCTTCTGGTCCTGTGCGAGGCTGCCAGCTCCCAGCCTATGCAGGGCCAGAAGTGGCATCCCTGTGGGGGGATTGATGGGACTGGAGCAGTCCTTCACCCACAGTGTCCCGTAGACACGGGAAGCTGCTCCCCGGGTACCAGTTAACCATTACCCGGTTACCTGTTAACATCACTAGTGTGGGGCCCCAGGCAATTGCCCTGCTTGCTACCCCTCTAATGCCAGCCCCATGTGCCAGTCTCTGAGACCTACATGGCAGCTAAGCAAAGCAACTCACTCACTTTCGTTAAACATGTGCTTGACATGGCAGCCAGGTTGGATGCCAAATTTAGGAGAGCAGCGCTTCAGTCACTTGTTGACAGATACAGCTAGAAAACCTCACTTCCAATGTTCAGGGGGGCTAACAGAGGGTTGATCCACCTTGACACACATTCAAGGAAGCAACAGTTACCCGATAATTATTTTTCTTTGTGGTGTGTGTGAGTCATACAGCACGCCCTCCATCCCTGATTTCAGGAATAGTTGGCAACATGGACTTTGGATTGTGAGGGAAATGAAGGAGGGTCACAGCCACCTTGCCTTTTATTTTGTAATATAGATAGAGCCCTACCAATTTCACAGCCATGAAAAACTCAACCCTTCCCTTGAAATCCAATCTCTCCCTGTTGCGAGGAGCTCTGAGCTCTGGATGGGCTGAAGGAGAGAGGGGCAGGACTTGTCCATCTCCTACACAGCCATGCCTTTGGGGAACTCAGATGCACCTCCACCTCTGGAAACCTCCTGCACATTCCAGAAGCTCCATGTTTGCTGCCATCAGAATGCAGCTCAGGCAGCAGCACAGAAGTAAAGGTGGCAACCCTAAGACCCCCCCTCCCCCCCCACAAGTCCCTTTTTGGGTTGAGACCCTTACAAAGCCGTGACATTTACCAATTTTCAAATCACTATAATTGACCATGATTTTGGTAGATCCCTAGCTACATATAGAGGCACAAGGAGAGACAGAGCAAAGTTCAGCCCCAATGGATACTGTTAGTGAAAAGACTCTCATCTTGTGTGCATGAGGCATATGTGTAGCTATAGAGGATCCACGCTGACTACAATATCTGAAAGACCCACACCTTCGGTAAGTAACTGTTACTTGTGTCCCAATATATGTAAAACGGGAGTGAAAAGTTACTTTTGGACTAATGACACTTTCTTGAACCTTGCCGTTTCTCATTTCTGCTAGTATCCGCAAAAATAACCTTTTTTCTTTCTAAAATAATTTAGAATTGGTGAAGAGGAGTCGGCAGTTGTGTGCCCTGTGATCGATGTGATTGAATGGAATACATTTGAGTACTTGGGAAATTCTGGGGAACCACAGATTGGAGGCTTTGACTGGAGACTGGTCTTCACTTGGCATGTTATCCCAGAGAAAGAGCAAAAACGAAGAAGGTCCAGAACTGATGTAATCAGGTGAATAAATTATTTGGCTGTATCTTCATTTTAAATGTCAAAATTTTATAAACGGTTTTAACTTTGGCTGAAGATAAAAGAATTTGTGTAACCGAGCACTGGGCATTCAGAGTTTTTAAAATATTGCTTTTTCTTTTTCTTTCTTTTTCTTTTTCTTTTTCTTTTTCTTTTTCTTTCTTTTTCTTTCGCTTCCAGGTCACCGTGCTTTTTGACAAAATTTTGATTTTAGAAAAGAAATCTTAATTAATTTTGCTATGTAAATTGTCATGAGTGTGTTTACTCAGGAAGCCTTTCTTGCTATATAAAAGAGGTTTACTGATAAATCTAGTAGAATAACAGAAGAACACTTGAAAAAGATAAGGAAAGGAGACCTGGAGAGAATAGCAAGCATACAAATGGTTTAAGCATACAAATATGAAGCTTGGCAAACATGCAAGAGGCAGTAGTTAAAATGGAACAATAAGATTTGATAGTACTGAAATAGATAACCTTACTCCTTTCTATATTGGTAGCTTAGTTGTCCTATAAAGAGACCTGACAAAATCCAGTCTTCCAGTGTGAGTAGGACTTTTTCTTGGGTGAGTGTCTTCAATTTGTTCAAAATCGGAGCTTTCAATAGTAACTTAATGGGGTTATTACTTTTTTTTTTATGGAGAATGTAAACAATTCCGTGTTGCCTTTGTGCTTTCAAAGGGACAGAACCAGAGGAGACAGAGCAGGAGGGTGCATGCTGCTTAGGGCACTTGTGTATTATGGCCTGACAAATAGTCTTGTCTTTGGCTAGTAGGTTTTATATACATTTTTTAAGCCTGCTCTATTTAACAACAATGGGTTTACTCTGAGTAAGTATGACTCATCATGTTAAATGTAGCAGAATCAGGGCCTATGTACAACTTTTGAATGTACATGTACAACTTAATGAATGAGTCCTTACTTCATCAAGCAGTCTCATTTAAGTTAATGGGATATACTCACATGGGTCTGCATAAGGGTTGTAATTATGGATCCTAAATGAGAAGCTTAAATGGAAGAAGACTGTTCTTAGGAGGAGCAGAAAACATGGTGAGGAATAATGCCACAGGCAACAGAAAACATTAGAGGATGAAGTTTTGATGATTATTAAGCAAAGCTGGGGAGTGTTGGCAAAAATAAATGATGAATGGTATGTGTATAATATAGGCTCCCAAATATTGAGCTCCTGGAGAATGCTTTCCTCAAGGAAAGCTACATCTGGTCATATGGAAAGAACCGCAAGATCTAAAGGTTCAAATCTACACAGTGACAGTTCTTTATTCTCAAGCTAAATTGGATCAGATCCAAAATTGATGTAAACTGGTGTAGCTCCACTTCAGTTAGCTACATGTTTTGCACCAGCTGAGAATCCAGCCTCTAGAATTCTATGTGGAATTTTTAGATAAGACTTTAAACAAACATTCCACAGAATAAACAGATCTTCAATTTGAATTCCTGGTGTATTTTTGGAAGAGAGAGGGTTTGCAATTGTACTCCTTGTCCATTGCTGCTACAACTGGATGGCTGCTGCCCTCACCTTGGAGCTGCTATCATTTAGCAGTGGATTGTGTGCTCCAGGAACAAGGCAGCTGTCCAGTATTTGTAACCTCGTCATTTAATTAGTGGCTCCTGCCTTTATTTATAACCTATCATCCAAAGCCTTCAGAAAATACAGAAATCATTCATTTCTTCACAGTCTTTTTAGGGCTCTTCCAACCATAATATCAGAGTGTCTTACCTCTCAGAGGAGATAAATTCATTAATGTTGTAAGAGACCCTTATTTTTTAAAGATGGAGGAACAGTAATAGTCGTGCAGTATTTTTCAACATTAGATTGACTGCTGGGGAAGGTTCTTTCATCTTTTCTGTTTCACCTTGCTCCACCAGAACAGTGTTCAGCTACAGGGCAGAGAACATGTTGCTTCAGTGTTAAACCTCATTTTAACTTGAATTGATTCATTAAGCTAAAAGTTAGTAGTAGCCTAGGTGACATAATCATAACCCAATTAAATGTATATACAAGAAGTATATTGTCCTAACCGCAAAATATGTATTTGCCACTTTAAAGGGCCAGCTCTTCCCACAGCTGAAAACAATTCAGAGACAAAATCATGTCTGTATAGATAGCATTCCCCATTTGAAATGACCGATTTTGATTTCCCTGGCAAATTTCTTGACTCAGAATCTGTCGAAAATGGGTATTTATGTCTTTGGGTGGGGAGAGGGTTCTTCAATTACATTAGTTAGGCAGTGTCAATAAATGGAAAAAAAAACCCCACACCAGTTAAAGGATCCCCTTAAAAGAGCCTATATTTTCAGGGATTACACCCACTTTAGGGGCCTAATCGATTGAAGTCTGAAAGTTTTATCATTGACTTCAACAGGAACACAATTAAACCTCTATTTTGTTGATGGCAAGATGCACCTATCACTTAGATATTTATTTTATATGTTCTGTATTGTTGTTTTGTACTAGAAAGCAATTAAGAAAATAGATGTTTGTGTAGATTTCCCCCCTCGACCCAATCCAGAATTAATTTTTTCTTTCATAGATCTCCAACCATGGCTGGTGGATTGTTTGCTGTCAGCAAGAAATATTTTGACTATCTTGGCTCTTATGACACAGGAATGGAAGTATGGGGAGGAGAAAACCTTGAATTCTCATTTAGGGTAAGTGACCCAATCAGCAATTTTGTCTGAGGGTAAAAACTGTCTTTGTCTTACACTTTCTTCTTTGTTTTCTGTACAGGGAGGATAAGTTTAACATAGAACTATGTAAAAGTGGCAGTATTTGCACAGGGATTTCCAAGAGTTTGTTTACATTCTCATGTTCTAGCAGTTATATTTGCTCCTAGAGCAAAACGTGCAGAAATATACTTTTATTCAGAATTTCAGTGTGAAGTTTTGAGACATGGGGCGATGGCCATCTTTGAAGTTTGCCATTTGTAGACTGTGAAGTAAGGAGAGAGGATGGAAGGAAAGAGAGAAGCTATATTGACCCATGTTTGGAGTTGGAGGGGGAGGAGAGAAAGGTACAGCAGCCACTGATGGAGCAGAGGCCAGACTGTTCCTTCAAGGCTATCCCAGACTTCAAGGCTTTAGGACTAGATTGGGGGCATCAACAGCAAACCCCTTATGAAGATGGTGAGAAGGGTTTACATCGCTACACAGCAGTAAGTTGGGAACACTGCTAAGAGGGCTCAGTTGAAAAGCACACACCAAGCAGTGTACTGTGCAACAGGATGATGGTTGTGCATTTCAGAGGTGGGAGAATTGCTGTGCATCAAAAAAGTAGTGTTTCATAGATGAGTGGGTCTGGCTGTTCTCTTCAGTGATCGCACTCAGAGATCAACCAAGAATAGAAGAGATGGCTATGCTAGAGTGGGAAAGGTTCTTGGCACAGAGAGAAGGAAGAGATACAGGCCAGCGTATTTAGATGGCAAATGTGTTTCTTGTCTTCTACTTCTTTCTGATTGCTGGAACTGCTGCAGTTTTCGAGGTAAGCACTGGCTGCTTGTGCTTTATCCTGTATGTCCTCCTCTTGCTAAAGGTGCAGCGGAAGGTCACATTATCAGCTTCTGTGGGTTATTCAGAACAGGATACTTGGGATTTTACTGTTTTTGCTCATCACCAGAAAACACTTCTGGCAATATTAGCATCTCTGTAGCATATCACTCTTTTCTGTTGCACAGCTCGTCTCAGAATTGATTACTCATAGGCGAATGCCCTGCACCCATGGAATCTGGATGCAGTTCATTGTTGCTGAAGTTTCCAGGACTAAGTTCCACCCTTCAGTTTAGATCACGCACATATAGCCATGCATAGACAACATGCCAGTCAGGACTCTGTCCAAAGAAATAGGCCCAGTCAGAATGAACAGCTGCTGGAAAGGATTCATAGCTACCAGCTTTTTGAAATCCAGAAGAGCTTGTGATCCCAGTACAGTGAATTGCACACCCCAAGGTCAAAACAGATGTGCCTCTGGCTGTAATTACCACAATGATAAAGATGGTGCAAAGACCCAAAATGTCATTGCATCAAACATTTTCTGAGTGATTATCAGAAGCCAATTATCTCCAATAGTCTGGATTCCTAGTGTCATACATCAGCTTCAACCCCTGAGTGGCTTTCTTAAAATGCAACTGCAAAAATTATTTATGAGGATGTAGAATCATCCACTTAATGCAATGCAGATTTAGGTGTCATTCTCAGATCTCTGCTGAATGCCTCTTTGTGGAGAGGTAAAGTAAGTACTTATAACATGCTCAAAGCCAGACCAACTTTCACACTAAAGCCTCTCTGTGGCAGCAAGCATACTTCGAAGACACATTTCCATACTCTCAGGCTATGTCTACTCTGGCACGATCTTGCGCCAGAGGTATGCAAATGAGGCTAAGCGTGGAATATCGCCGAGCTTCATTTGCCTATCAAATGAGCCGCCATTTTGCGGAAGAGGCTCTTGCGCAAGAAGGAGCTGTCTACACTGCCCCTTCTTGCTCAAGAAAAACCTTCTTGCGCAATGCTGTTACGTTGATTATTTTCAGGAATAACGGCATTGTGCAAGAGGGTTTTTCTTGCGCAAGAAGGGGCAGTGTAGGCAGCTCCTTCTTGCGCAAGAGCTTCTTCCGCAAAAATGGCGACTCATTAGATATGCAATGGGGCTCGGCAATATTCCACGCTTAGCCTCATTTGCATAGCTCTGGCGCAAGATCGCACCAGTGTAGACATAGCCTCATTGTATATGTCTCTTTAGTTCATTTCAACACCTTTACTAGAATGTGTCTTTAAAAAAAAGAAGGGACAGAAACTCCATTAATATAGCGATATGGGATCAGGTCCTGTCTGTGACAGTGACTAGTACCAACTGAATTAGTAGAAGGTGCAAAGAAACCGTGTAGTGAGTCATGGTAATCACCGAGACAATCTCCTCTTATTTCCTGGTTGAGTTTGGCTCATGATTGAGGCATGAGCTTTGATATCCTTTCTGAAAGCAGGAAGTTAACAAAGATTAAAGCTTCTCTGTGCCAATGCAAATAATTCCTGGATAAAGAAGAATATGCTACTTTTCAAGACCGTTTATATAAAGGATACAGAAAAGAGAAAAAGGGAGAGTTGGTGATCGTCCTCCTAGGTCTCCCACTGGCCCAGAAGATACTTCAGACTCACTGGATAGTCTAGGACCTCACATTGTAGCTGAAGAAAACACCAGAACTGTGGAAGCAGAGATTCCTTCATTAAGACAGTGAACACCTCGACCTAACCATCTGGATATCAGAAGAGGAGTGTAGTTCAGCACGAATCTTCCATTCTTCCTTGAAAATTCTGGAATGGGCTTCCAACCGAGGGAGGAGGTTATGTGGTCCTCATTGCTGGAGGCTTTTAAGAACAGATGGGACAAACACATGTCGGGGTGGTGCAAATCAGTAGTTTTCAAGCTTCTTTTTCTCACAACCCAGTTGATGCTCATGACCCAACATACTTCTAACTTTTGAGGAGAGTGCAGGCTCTTGCAGGGCAGGGGGCAGGAATGAGGGGTCTGGGCTGTAGGTTGGGACTCCAGGTTGGGAGGGGGTTCACAGCTGGGGCAAAGCGTTGGTGCTTCATGGTTGGACTTATCTCCGGCAGTTCCTGGTCAGCAGTGCAGTGGGGCTGCTAAAGCAGGCTTCCTGCCTCTCCTGGCACCGGGGTGGACCATGCTGTGTCTCAGGAGAAGCCAGCAGCAGGTCTGGCTCCTAGGCAGAGGCACACAAGTAGCTCTGCACACTGCTCTCGCCTGCAGGAACAGATCTCCCCTCCTTCCTCCCCCGTCCCCGTCCCCTGCTCACATTGGCTGGGAATTGGCCAATGGGAGAGTGGAGCCAGTGCTCGGGGTGGGAACAGTGCATAGGGGACCATGCTGTGTCTCAGGAGAAGCCAGCAGCAGGTCTGGCTCCTAGGCAGAGGCACACAAGTAGCTCTGCACACTGCTCTCGCCTGCAGGAACAGATCTCCCCTCCTTCCTCCCCCGTCCCCGTCCCCTGCTCACATTGGCTGGGAATTGGCCAATGGGAGAGTGGAGCCAGTGCTCGGGGTGGGAACAGTGCATAGGAGCCAGACCTCCTGCTGGCCGCTTTTGGGATGCAGTGTCATCCACAGTGCCAGGACAGACAGGAAGCCCACCTTAGCACTCCCACTAGTCACCGAGACATCCTACAGCAAAGTGACCCAGAGCCTGACATTGTGCAACCCAGAATTTGAAAACCACTGGCCTAAGTTTACAAGGTCCTGCTTCAGGGCAAGGGGCTGGAATTGATGATCTCTCAATGTCCTTCCAACCTTACATTTCTGTGACTAACTTCTAACACAGTTTTGGTATGCAGACAGAATTCACCCGGATATTTCATTCATTGATCTGATCAAAAATACATTTCTAATGAGGCGAAACAGAAAGTTCTTTGGTGGCAGAAACTGTTTCTGTATTTGTTCAATACCCAGCATAATGGGGCCCTAACATCTTGTAGCTTATTGTGATACAATATTATAATAATCCCAAAGCTCTGGTGATCTCAGCTGCATGAGTGCCTTTCCAGATGGTTAGGTTTATATCCTGTAACCCAGCACTGTTGAAATACGAACACCAAGTACCAGCCATAATGCCATTTTGCAGCCAGGCATGTCAGATCTTCCATTTTTATCATCGGGTGCCAAATTTAATCACAGTGACACCTGACTTGTGGCTGGCCTTTCTAGTGGAAAGGCAAGTTTCAGAATTTGTTCCCATATCCTTCTAAGAAACACACTGCCTTGAGGAAAAGCTCCAGCAACCTTTCTCTTCAAAGTAAGTTCCTTTCTTTCACAATTCCTAGGAAACAAGTTCCTCCCACCACACTCTTGGAAGGTTGCAGCATAAATGGCTTAAAGCTCTAAAGATCTATTTCAAGCATATGGCGTACATACGCCAATTGCACCCTGTTCATCTCATTCTATCCAAAATGCCAACACTGAGGGCCTCCAGGTTGCTGCAGGCAAGATGTAAAAATTCTGCACCAGCTGGCATGGTAGGCATCTTGGAAGCTGTTCACAGCTGTTCCTTTAGGCACTGGGGGAAAAGTATACAAGTAGAATATGCAAAGTAAGTTTCCATTCTTCTGCAGAGTTGTCCTTTGGTAGGAAGGTAATACTGGGTTGGTTCCCACATAATTCCTTAGGGTATGTCTACACTACCCCGCTAGTTCGAACTAGCGGGGTAGTGTAGACATACCCATACAGATTAACTTCAAACTTAAACCACAAAGGATTAGGAAAACAGCCAGTCCACTTCTCACTGAGGAGAGCAGAACAAAATGTCTGGAGTTGCTATGCAACACCATTTTCCAGATGCGGCAAAAAACATGGAGTTTTTTTTTTAAAGATCCTTGACCTCTCTGCCAGGGCTGGCTCTAGATTTTTTGCTGCCCCAAGCAAAAAAATGTTTGGCCGCCCCCTCCCCCTTTTTTGTTAGCTTTTACACGTTTGCACTTTGCAATGTTTTGTTTTGTTATTTGACTGTTAAAAATTTGGGTATGTCTACACTACCCCGCTAGTTCGAACTAGCGGGGTAGTGTAGACATACCCTTAGTTTATAATATTCTTACTTTATATGGGGAGTACTTCTGCTTCTGCCTATTACCCTACTCTGCTTATCCTTTCCC